ATATATATATATATATATATATATATATATTATGGTTTCAAAATATTTGCAAAATATTTTAATTCCCGGGATCCATGTGAGTAGAGAGTGCAACATTGTACCTTGTAGCCGAGGTAAAGGTCCTCCCTTGTTGGGCATTGATTGATCATTATGGGCTGAGAGGTTAAGTGTAAGACTATTGGGGGGTAATACCTGATGGGCTAATCTTGCATTTGCCTACAGTTCTTGGGTTTTCATAAGGTGGCTGGACCCAAGGACCATTTAGTGTAAATGTTGGGCCCATTAAGAGTTCATAGAGATGGACTCAAGGGTTCACTATCTCCTACAGTGAATTCGGCCAGGCCTTGTAACAAAGGCTGGGCTGAACTCATGTGTCTGATGTGTAGATCAATGTTTGGGTCTCATGCCATACAAAGAGAGCCAACTGGGCAGCAGGTTAAGAGGTTAAGTGAGCACATAAACTTAATGGGCCTAAAGCCCAATTTCGAACTGGGTTAATTAAATTAATTAAATAGGTGCGGATCTAGGTTTGGATCAGGAGATAAAGATAAGAGGATAAGTCTTATCCAGTTAAAGAGTCCAGATCCAAATAAAGATTTGGATTAGGAAACTCCTAATTTGATTAGGATTAAGCTGATCTTAAACTGCAGATAAAATAAAAGATTATCCTTCTCACTTAAAGAGTCCAAATCCAAATAAAGATTTGGATCAGGAAACTCCTAATCAGATTAGGAGGTTGTCACTTTAAGGCTATAAATAAGAGAATATGGTGAACATGCAAAAGACACCAGACAAGACACAACAAATTACAGAGTTATTCCCTGTTCTTGCTGCCCTTACCCAGTTTGATCTCCACTCGTGGGAGTGATCAAGAATTGTTCTTGATATTGCTCTTTGTAGAAGAAGCAATATGAAGTTGTGTTCACCAACCCTCTACTCCATTCTTGTTGAAGAATTCAGTTCTTGCTGAAGAGCTATCTTGCTGATCCAACTTCACCTCATACTGTGTCATCTTCAGTGGAAGCAGGTTTTGGTTTTTCTCCCTGGGTGTGAACATCTTCATTGGGAGTTGCTGCTACTCCGTATCAGGTATATCCCTTTCCTCCCTTTTTGGTTTCAGATCTAGTCCGGTTTGGTTTAAGATTGATCATTGAAAATGCAGTTTTCTAAAATAGGGAATGCGATTCCCAGATGGGAGAGAGAGAAATTTTTGAATTTTTCCCAACCTTCCTACAGGGTTCAGCCATCCATATGATGGATCTCTCATCCCTTCAGTTAGTGAGGGCGTAGTAGAGAGGGCGGTCAAGGTCTGAGGGGCTCAGACGAGGTTGCTAGAAATCCAGAGAGCAAGAGAGTTTGGAGAGTTTGGTGACCAGAGAGAGAGACCCCTTACCTTGGGGGTGGCATGCCCTATTTATACTTGAGGTCATCTGACAGCGGACCACGTGGTCAGGATGTGGTACGACCCTAGTCGGGTGGCCATCCAAGCTCGCCTTATGTGGATGCACCATTGGTCCTGCACTAGGCACCGACTTCTGCCCTGCGGACACGCTAATTGGCTCCCTCGGCCACATGTCGAGGCGCCAGTGGCCTGCCAAAAGCACCTACTGTTAGACAATGTATGCCCTTAGCTCCAATCAGAATGATGTACATTATGACATTTATTGTAAATGAATAAAGTACATATTTGATTCATGTTATTGTAGTGTGTTTCTGTGTAATACCCTTAAACTAGACACATATGAGACTCGTGTTAGTTTAGAATGTTCACAGCCCCTGGATAA